TGATGCCATTAAACATCAAGGGGAGGTGATTAAATTCTTTTTTGTCAGAAATGGTCATTGCCTGGCACTTGTGTGGTGTGAATGTTACTTGCTGCTTTCAGCTCAAGCCCAGATATTGTTCAAGTCATGCTGTATTTGGACATGGAGTGCTTCGGTATATGTTGAGTTACATATAGTGCTAAACATCATATAATCATTGGCAAACATCTGACTTTAGGATGGAGGGAAGGTCAGTGAGGTAGTTGAAGATGAGGTTGTAGGCATGCTCACCAAGCCAGTGGGTTTGGTTGCAAACGTTTCGTCACCCTGCTAGATAACATGATCGGCGCGCCTCCGGTGAAGCGTCGGTGTTCTGTCCCTCTTGTAATACATGTGCCTCAGTTTCTTGGGGTGTTGGCTACCACTTCCAGTGATGTTTCTCAGTGGTTTGTACACGGGGTCTAATTCAGTGTGTTTGTTGATGGAGTTCCGGTTACAATACCAGGCCTCCAGGAATTCCCTGGCGTGTCTCTGTTTGGCTCATGCGATTATGGATTTGTTGTGCCAGTCGAATTCGTGTCCCTCTTTGTCCGTATGTAGTGAAATAAGTGAGAATTGGTCGTGTCTTTTGGTAGCTATTTGGTGTTCATGTATCCATATTGTCAGTTTTCCTCTGGTTTGGTCTATGTAGTGTTTCTCACAGTCCTTGCATGGTATTTTGTATATTACACTGGTTTTGCTGGTTTTGGGTATGGGATCCTTTATGTTCGTCAGTAGCTGTCGTAGGGTGATTGTTGGTTTGTGGGTTACCCTGATACCTAGGGGTCTGAGTAGTCTTGCGGTCATCTCTGAAATATCCTTGATGTATGGTAGGGTGATTAGTGAGTCTGGTTGTGTGGTGTCTTCCTGTTGTGGTCTGTCTCGGAGGTAACAGTGGATTGTGCTTTTCGGGTATCCATTCCTTTTGAAGAATCCGCATAGGTGCTCCAGTTCTGCTTTGCATAGTTCCTGTTTTGCTGCAATGTGTTGGGGCTCATTTAAATAGTGTCCTGATGCAGCTCCGTTTGTGGGTGTTGGGGTGGTTGCTGGTATAATTGAGTATCTGGTCCATATGTGTGGTCTTGCTATATAGGCTGGTCTGGAGTTCGCCGTTGTCTTTGCGTTCTACCATTATGTCCAGGAAGGGTAAGTCAGTTGTTGTTCTGTCCTTCTTTTGTGAATTTTATCCCAGTGAGGATGTTGTTTATGTGTCAGTGGGTTTCTTCTAGTTTCGTGCATTTAATAATCACGAAGATGTCATCTACATATCGGACCCAAAGTTTGGGTTGGATAGTTGGGAGTGCTGTCTGTTCTACTTTGTATTACTGATTCTGCAATCAGTCCTGATATTGGGGATCCCATTGGTGTTCCATTGATTTGTTTGTATATGCTGTCGTTGAAGGTGAAGTGGGTTGTGAGACACAGATGTAGTAGTTTCAAGGTGGCGTCCTTATTGATGCTGTTGGTGTCCTGGGGTGTCTGCTTACTTAATTCGTCCAGCAGTGTAGCAATTGTCTCTTTGGTGAGGTCGATGTTTATGGATGTAAATAGTGCTGTTACGTCGAAGGATATCATCATCTCGTCCTGGAGCTGGGATGACTGAACTCCAACAACCACAACCATTACCCCAGCAGGGTAATGAAACGTCTGCGGAACAACAAACCAGCTCGGCAAGCCAACCAACCTCAACACTCGCAACCCAAGCTACATATCTATTCCAAAACCTTACAACTATCTTCCTATGTGTCAGGAATGACTCCAACCAGGAAAGAGTTTTCCCCTGATTCCCACTGACTCCAGTTTTGCTGTAGTCACACTCAGTAAAATGAGGCCTTGATGTCAAGAGCCTCACTCTCAGTTCACTTCTAGAATTCAGATCTTTTAATGATATTTGGACCAAGACCCGATGCAGAGGGGATGTTTGGGGTTAGACTCCAGAATCAGGAGTCACCGTCTCACAATCCCCTGGAGGCCATTCCAGGCTGAGATGAGGAAACACTCCTTCACTCACAGGATGAGGAACCGCTACCTGTGGAGGCTGGGTCACTCAAAGAGCTGGAGATAGCACAGTGCAGAGCTAGAGGAACACAGCAGGCCAGGCAGCATCAGAGGAGCAGGAAAGTTGACATTTTGCATTGGAAGAAGGGCCCTGACCAGCATCTGCAGTTCTTAGTGTCTCCAAGAAAGAGCTGGATCTTTTTCTTAATCAAATGGCATCAAGGGGTGTGGAGAGCAAGTGGGAGTATGGCGCTGATCTAAAGGATCAGCCATGATCATATTGACTATTAGAGCAGGCTCAAAGGGCTGAATGGCCTCTTCCTACTCCTGGTTTTTGTGCTATATAGATACCAGGGAAAATCCATGAATGGAAATACATAGTTATCTGATGCTAAGGGAATCAAAGATTAAACTGATAAGGGTGCTATGGAAAAGGGCACAAAGAGATTTGTATACAGCATAGAGCATTCTCAATATATAGATGTTTCTTGGGGAACTTGTGGCCTGATCTACATCAGGAAGACTGGCATCTAAGATTGATGCTGATTGAACTCTGGTAGGTTTCTGCAAATATGTTTTATTGACACTCTGAATTAAACAGCTGTGTGAATGTATTAAAGGTTGTGAAGGGGTTAATGTTCATGTTACAGTGGATCTGCCCATTCTACTGATGTCACATGGCTTTGTGGGTGACTACACAAAGTTGTGCTTTAACTTTCAGAGGGAGCAGCTCCCTAATGTCCGAGCCATCATGCCTAAATGTGGTTGGAATTATTGTCCCCATGGACAATCTTCTTGTTATCTAAAAACTTGTTGCCTCTTCTGTGGATATCCTACATTGAACATTATCTTCTTTCAATTTGATACTCTCCATCGTGTCCCTGGTTAACCATGGTTGGTTTATCCCCTTCCTAAAATCCTTCTTCCTCGGTGGGATATATCTTTGTTGTGAGGCATGAAGAATTTTCTTGAAAGTTTGTTGTTGTTCCTCAACCATCTTTCCCACTAAACTCTGTTCCCAGATCACTCCAGCCAATTTACCCTTCATCCCTATGGAATTATCCTTATTTCAGTTTAGCACAGTATTTTCCAACCCAGGTTTCTCACACTAAAACTGAATGTTCAATTCTGCCATATTATGGTAACTGCTCATTTGGGAATCCGATAGTCTAAGATCATTGGCTAAACTTGCCTTATTATACATACAAGATCCAAAATAGTTTGATCCTGATTAGATCAAAGCAGCACAATGTCTTGGTCAGACCAAACATGGAATACTGAATGCAGTTTTGATCTCAATCCCTAAGAAATAATAGTCTTGCCATAGATGGAGTGCAACAAACGTTCACCAAGCTGCTTCCTTGGAGGGCAAGTTTGTCAGAAAAGGAGAAATTTGAAAGCAGGTCCTATCTATCTATGTAGTTTAGAAGATAGAAGGCGCTGGTATATGTTCTAAATCCAGCTCTGATGCTAATACTTAGGGCGAACAGCACCGCTCCAGGCAAGGTAAAGACATCACCTGAGCCTCCATCTCCTCTCTGATCACCAATGATACTTTCAGCTAAGTACAGGTTACCAGAGGAGCAACAGAGGACGGGGCCAGGAAGGCAACGGTACTGGAGTGTAGATGGAGCAATTACCAAATCATCAGTATTATCCCTAACTTAGCCAAAGGTCAGAGGTTAGGAATCCTGCTAGAAACAGGCTAGTAGCTCATCACCCGATTCCCCAAAGAGTGTCCACCATCTACAAGGTCCAAGTCAGAAGTGTGATGGAATAATCCCCACTTGCCTGGATGGGTGCAGCTCTAACAAAACTCAAGAAGCTTGACACCATCCAGGACAAAGCAACTTGTTTAGCAACACATCCACAAACATTCAACATTCACTCATTTCCCCAGTGATGCTCAGCAGTACCAATGCATACATCTACTAGATGCACTGCAGAAATTTACCCAGAAGTTGGTGGGGATCCAGAATGCACTGCGTGGGAGGGTAGTTGAGGCAGGAAACCTCACAACCTTTAAAAGGTGCTTGGATGAGTACTTGAAGTGTCAGAACTTTTAAGGCTGTGGGCTGGTAAGTGGGACTGATGTAGGTAGCTGTGTATGTCTGGTGGTACAGATTCAATGGGCATAGGGCTTCTTCTGTACTGTATGATTCTATGATTCATCAAAGCTCCTTAGACAGTACATTCCAAACCCACAACCACTTCCATCTCGGAGGACAAGAGCAGCAAATGCACAGGAACACCACTCCCTACAATTTCCCCTCCTAGCCACTCACCAATTTGATTTGGAAATATATGGCCGTTCCTTCAATGTCACTGGGTCAAAATCTTGGAATGCCCTTTGTGTGGAAGTACCTATAGCCCACAAACTGTCCGTCAAGAAGGTAGCTCAGTGCCACCTTCTCTAGGGCGACTAGGGATGGACAATAAATCTTGACCTTACTGAAATGGCCATATCCACGAAGAAATAAAAAAAAAGTCTCCAGTTTGGATGATCCCTCACCAGTTGTGGGGAATATTTGATGGAGCAGCAAATCTCCTGGCCATTAATTTCTGATCTTTGTGGGAATCTGAAGTTTGTCGATTGATGATCAGTGAGAAAATTAGAGCCGGGAGAAAGTGAAACATAATAAGATTTTATGGTCAAGATTTAGGAAATGGGCCCGTCATCAATTGGACCAACAGACTCCCATTAGGTCTGGTCTGTACATTCTGTTCCAGAAATACTGTGAGAAAGAGGAGTTTTGAAATATTGGGTTGACTGGGAATGAAATGAGTTCTGGGATCATGGGAATCTCTTGCTTGATTTATACTTTATCCAGTTTTCTTCTGCACAGATATCTGTTTCAACCTTCCATAACCCTGCCAGTTTCTCAGGAATGAGAAGTCAACACAAAATTCTTTAATTATTGCCCTCTCACAACATCAGACCCGAAGACCCCGTGCTGGGTACACCCAGTCCTGTCACCACTTACTTCCCTTCAGAGCCATAGCTATTCATGCTTTCTTCAATGGACTCATGGCTGGCTTGGCGAACAGTCCTGCTCGGCATCTCCACAGCAAGTCCTGTCTCCGTGCTGCGTTGGATTGCACCTCGTAGTTTACGGCCATCACCATCTATAAGATACAATAAAATCCATGTCAATGGAAGACAGTGTACCTGACCACATGATTCTAACATCAGTGAGACAGAAGACATCAGTTTAGATTGACCCTGTAAGGAGAAAGATCTTCAATACTATCCTAGAGAGATAGTTATCCAACCTACTGCATACATATGTAAATAAAGGAGTGTTACAGAACATCAGGCGCTGATGAGCTTTACTTAGTGATAAGGAGTCAAAAGCCTCATGTGCAGAGTCTCACAGCCCAGAGATAACTCAGTATTTGTCACAGTCACGAAGAAGGATGAGACGTGACTTGATAGAGGTGTACAAAATGATCAGAGGTATTGATAGAGTGGACAGCCAGAGACTTTTTCCTAGGGTGGAGGTAGCTATTACGAGGGGGCATAGTTTTAAAGTGAGTGGAGGTAGATATAGGGGAGACGCTCTTTACTCGGAGGTTCTTTACTCAGAGTGTGGTCAGGGCGTGGAATGCATTGCCAGTGAGGGTAGTGTAGTCAGCCTCATTAGGGGCATTTAAGCAGCTATTAGATAGGCATATGGATGATAGTATAAGGTTTAGGGTAAAAGTTCGGCACAACATCGTGGGCCGAAGGGCCTGTACTGTGCTGTACTGTTCTATGTTCTATGTTCTAGTAGTGACTGACTTAAAGCACAAAAATAAAGCAGCTAACTTGTGACATTGCACCAGAGTTCCATCCTGCAGGCTGATGTGACGCACATCCTGGATCCCAAGCTGACCTTCCCAGAATGGATCATTCGAGGAGAAAATTGCAAACAAAATGGAAAATGCCCTGGTCAGGAATTTCCCCACAGGAAATGACTCAATCAGTGGAAATGCGGAGACCACCCAGCTCCTGGTCCGCTGATTGGCTGGTAGTTCTGGACGGTCAGGCACCCCCCCTAAAAAGGGAGGGGACCATCAAAGATAATGGACTTGTCACTGTATGGTTGAATATTGAAACTGGTGTCTCATAAATAGTTAACCCCACCCTCCTTCCCCATTATCAAGGCCCCTGGCCACCCTGACAAATTCTGACTCATCAGGTACACATCAAACGCGTCCCAAAGCATAAGTGTGTGAAAGGAATTTTTTAATTCTGAATGCAAACGAATCAATACTGTTCCAGTATTGCTTTGGGATTCTTGGTGTAGGGAGAAAAACAAATAACTCCATTCTGTTTCCTAATCTGACTACCAGAGCCAATGAGGAGCTCCAGGATTTGGATCCAGTCACACTGAAGGAACGGCGATATATTCCCAGGATGGCAGAGGGTGAGCTCAATGGAGTTCAGTTTGAATCTGCTCAATGATCCCATGTGCCTGTTGTTCGCCAGTGCTCTATACAGTCACATGCACCTGATTCTGGTTCAGGCGAACAACATGAGATAAGGTGGAGTAACGAAACAAAAAACTGCAGATGCTGGAAATCTGAAACATAAACACAAGGTGCTGGAGAAACTCAGCAGGTCTGGCAACATCTGGAGAGAGAGAAACAGAGTTAATGCTTAAAGTCCAGTCACCCTTTGTCAGAGCTGAAAGCTGCTGGGAAACGATGGACGATGGGGTTGGGGAAGGAGTGAATAGAGTACATGGAGATGGGGCCCAGAGAAAGAGAGAGAGAAGAAAAAGACATGATAAGCTGAGAGGGAGGTAAATGCTGTATTGGTGCCAATGAGAAATGTGAATAGTCAAAAATGGTTGATGCCCATTCAGAACCAGACCTGGGGGTGTACAGGGAGGATGACAAACATGGAGGAGGGTGTTCAGGTACCGAGCCAATGTTGAGCCCTGAAGGCTCTATGGTACCTAGCTGAAAGATGAGGTTTTGGTCCTCCAGCTTGCACTGAGCCTCACTGGAACACTGCAGCAAGCCTGAGACAGAGGTGTTGGCCAGGGAACGGGGTGGAGGGTGGAGGGTTAACGTGGCAGGCAATCGGAAGCTCAGGGTTATTCCTGTGGACAGAACATACAAGTTCTGTGAAGCGGTCACCCAGTCTACATTTCACCTTGTGAGAGACCACATTGTAAGCAGCAAATGCAGTCGACTAGATTGTGTGAAATGCAGGTAAAGTGCTGCTTCGCTGGGAAGGTGTGTCTGGGGCCATGGATACTGGGGAGGGAGGAAGTAAACAGGCAGGAGTTACACCTTCGCAGGTCGCAGGGGAAGGCGTCGTGGGACTGTTGGGGAGGTTCTGGGAGTGAAGGAAGAGTGGACCAGGGTGTCCCATTAGGAATACTCACTGTTGCCAATGTGATATTCCGCTCCCTTTCCTTGTCAGATTGAGACTGAGTCATTGATAAAGATTAGTCACTTTAATCTACTGACAGTCCCATTAGTCACTATAATCCGCCCTCAGTCCCATTGGTCACTATAATCCACCGACAGTCTCATTGGTCACTATAATCCACCCACAGTCCCATTGGTCACTATAATCCGCCCTCAGTCCCATTGGTCACTAT